ATCATAAAAAAATTGCTCCAAAGAATATTAGTTAAGGTAGAACAGGCGAAACCAGATTCAAACGAGGATTTTAGGGAAAAGCTGCAGGGACACGCAAGTGAGTAAAATTCACATCCACTGAGTCCGCAAATCAACGATTTATATGACTAGATGTACATAAAAATTATTCGCAATCTCAACCCCCTAATATGAAATATAATAATAATATTATTATTCAATAATGAAATAAAATAGCTAAGCTTTGACTTGCTTGTATGACCCAGTGCAGTTCCCGCTAATCCAGTCGGTAATTGAGTCTTCAATCCACCAAAAACAGATTGATTCTGAGGGACATTCGTACTGCCAAAGTAGCCAATTTGCTGTTGCTGTGCAGCTACTGCAGCGGCAGCCAAAACATGTGATTGTTGTGCCTGTTGCCAGCGCGCAGTACGCTCACCAAGACCTTCATAATGCGACTCCCAGATACCAGTCCCATTTGGTGGCTCATTAGGCCAAATATTCGACTCGACAAAGAGTCCTCCAGGAAGGCCACCAACAAGCCCAGGACCATCCGATAAACCAGACTTAAGACGTCGCTGCTGTTGCTGAAAATTCATAGCTGCTACAGCATTACCTAAGAGACCCGGCTGCTGAGATTGACTTGATTGAAGGGTAGCGAGGCCACGAGAAGAGTGACCAACGGGAGATCCTGGTGTGGTTCCCGATGGTTCATCCCCTGAGCCGGGGAGAGACCCTGAGTTCCCAGCTGCCAGAGCTAAGCTTGATGATAATGCAGAGAGATCCCAAGGAGTGCTCTGGTCAACAGGACGCTGTCCCCATGCTTCAGTTGTGTTAACCAGCGACTTAATAATATCCTCTATATCAGAGCTGCTACCTGCATTATTTGAACTGCTATTAGTAGTATTGACCGCATGGACAGCAGTGTTAGTAAGATTAGACAATATGCTGCTAACGTTATTATTGCTGTTTGTTCGTTTATCAGAATTAATGTTTGGTCCTGGACTAGGCGTAACACCTTGGCCTGAAATAGAAATGCGTTTTGGTGGTATGAAAAACTTAGTAAAAAAAGACGGGGACCAAATTAAAGCAAACTAACTAAGTAGATTATTTGAATCTCTATCCACTTGATTGCTCATGACTAATGAAGAACTATTACCACCTGGCTGTGGATTCCAACTTGAAAGAGTACGATTTCGCTCTAGCCCAGGGTTTGTACCGAAGATGCCTCTACTATGTGGCTGAGGCCCAGTTGACAAATGACCGACATTGCTCCCCGAGCTACTAGTAGATCTCTGGGCACCAGTCGGGGCCCATAGTGGAGCCTGTTGGGGTGGTATTTGACTCCCAGGTGCACCACCTAATAGAGAACCAGTTCCAGATGGTAAACTCCACTAAAAGTAAAGAAATAATATATCAACATACTGGATACGATGGGGATTAAGAGAATGTTAGACACATACTTGACTATTGAGGGTAAAAATACCAGAATTTCCACTGCCGCATCCTATTTGCTCAGGTGGAGTATTAGCTGAGGATGTGGGCCCTGGAAGAGGCCAGACACCTCCGGAGCCAGGCGCAGCGCTTAAGGAGCCTTTACGGCCTATATGACCAAAGCCATTTGACATAGACCAGACATCTTCCATTGAGGATAATCCTGATGAATCACCCACTATATGGTTAACGGCTGAATTACAATTAGAGTTGGTATTTGCTGTAGGATTGGCGCCAGCGCTCCAACCAAGACCGCTACCACTAAA